TGCATCAATAAAACAAACAATACTCAATGGTCTTACAGTTTCCACTAGGTTGCATTAACTTTGGCTTTTCTCAGACAATATTTAAAAACTATTTTGTAATTCTAAACAAAATATTAATCTACAAACAATTCTCACAGCACAAAAAAACACAAATACATTTTTTTTGTATGACATTATTCAAAAAGGTAATGAAACTACAGTTTTTTTTAAAATTTTATTTCTTCTTGTTAATTAGCACTTAATAATAAAAACAACAGTAAAATGAGTTCAGAGTAGCACAAGCCAAAGAACTAGAACCCCTATGGTGAAAGAAAGATGAACTTGTTCCGCCTTAAGAACTGCCATTTGATCACGATTCTCTAATTTAGTTTAAAAATGACTATTCTCTACACTTGATTTTTTAAAAAAAGCAGTTTCGCTGTGTGTTTTCCTCCTGGCACAGGCCCTTGCACCCTTGCAGCTTCTTCCTTTTGTTATTAAAAGATAAAGTGACTAAAAGAACAACTTGTCTCTGAGGAGGGTTATCTTCTTAACAATGAAACATGCCAAAAATACCCCCAATAACCCAGGAAGAATAGACTTTCCTACTCCGTGTGTCTTGGTTGCCTGCAAAATAAGAAACACTCAACTCAAAGTGCCCACCCTGAACCTCTTGTCAGCTGCACTCAGTTCCTCTGGGGGTGGTGCAGGTGGGAGAAAGGAGAGGCAGGCAGGGGGAGGGCAGTTTGCTTCAGTGAAGAAATGGGAAAAAACTGTTTGGAGATCTCTGTAGAGATTGGTAAATGAAAAGATTCAGAACGAATCTAAGAAGTTCAGATGGTGTTCTCTTGTGTTCCTGTGCATGTATCTACACACCACCATATATTACACGTGAGAGAGGCGTGTGTGATAACTCTTGTTTCAGCTGATTGCTGCAGGAAGTACAAAATAGCCCTCAAAGGATGAAGGAAGGCCCCAGCAGTAGTAAACACGTGAGGATAATACAAATCATGTCATTATAAGTGCACGTGCCGTAAGAAGGAAACTTTTTTTTTTTTTTTTTTTTTTTTTTTGCATCATTAGAGGCTAGTCCTTTCCATCCCTGGGCTATCACATCCACACACAGACTAAACCCAGTGGGGTGGTGAGGAAGGACAGGGAGCCAGCAGTTTCTGAACTCCATTAGAGACAAAGAAGCTTCCAGGGACTGCTTTCAGGAAAGCAGGGGTTTGTATTGGGGCTGCTGGGAGAACATTGGGATTTGTCAGGACAGCAAGGAGATCTGTTTATGTGAAGTCAAAGTCAAAGTCAAAGTAATATGGCACTTTAAAAAGTGGCAGCAGGAACTGATGCTACCCTGTTTCCCTGAAAATAAGACAGTGTCTTATATTAATTTTTGCTCCCAAAGATGCGCTAGGTCTTATTTTCAGGGGATGTCTTATCTTTCCATGCGCTAGGTCTTATTTTCGGAGGATGTCTTATTTTTGGGGAAACACGGTAGGTATTTGGTTAGTAACTGGGATAAAGAACTAAGTTTTACTTAAATGGCCAGTATATGCATTCAATTAAAAATTAGACATATGTGAAGGGGAAAGGACTCTCAGCTAACTCCAGACACCTTGCTTATTCAGAGGCATCCACAGTCAGAGAAATCCCCAGCACAATGGCTGATTAGAAATATTAATTAGGAATATTTAGGAAAGAAAAGCAAAAAATACCTCAAAAAAACTACCCGATTACCATATCATTTATCTGGAAGGTATGTGAAAATATTCTTAATTGGGATGTCCCACTACATCTGACCTCAACAGCATACAGAACTGAAGGTTTAGTTAGGTGCTGAGTCTACCCACCATCCCTCTCCGGATTACCTAATAAACTGTGTTTAAGCAGAAGGAATTCTAGCAGCACATAAGAATTCTTCTTTAAAAAATGACCAGAAACAATCAGATTAAAAAAAAAAATGGCGAAGGGAAAAAAGGAGAGAGGGTTAAAAATACATATATATTTTTCCTGCAGATTTGCCTTCTGGAGTTTTTTTTTCTTTTGGATCTCAACCAAAGGATAAAAAAGTAGTAAAAACAAAACAACTCAGAGAAGATAAATGTAGAGGGAAAAAAAATCCAAATTAGAATCACCCCAAAACAAACTAAATGACAGTATAAAAGTTATCAACATTCCAGATAGCTCTGGGTAGAAAGGGTTAAAAGTTCAAAACTTTCTCACCTTAGAGGTTTCCATATATTATGAAGAAAATACATTGTGAGGTTGCCATCACAGCATTGATGTGCAGAGTGGTTAAAAAAGTGAGACATGGGCACTTATACAATGTCTTACAAAAAACATCATAGAGAAATAACAAACATTAACAATTTCAGGCAACAAGACCACAGGATAGCAAGTTAACAAACTTTTTAACCTCTTTTTTTTTCTGTTTTTTGTTTTTTAAATATTAGGGATTTATACAAAACACATAATAAAATACCCATGTTATCAAATTACTTCTCACAAGAAACACACTGAAGCTCTAGGAAGGAAGTACCTTTGGAATTTGGCACTATATATTTTCACTTTTTTCTTTAAAAGAAAAAAAAAATCACATTTTGCTGAACACAAACACATCTAAATAGTCCACAATAATAATAAAAAAAAATGACATCAATGCTTTACAAGCCAACACAAACTTATTCTGGAATAGTTTTTTCCCCCCCCCTCACATGAAATTTTTTTTTTAAGCAAACAACTTTTTTTTTTTTAAATTCTTTTTTAAGTAAATCAGTTCTAAACTTGTCTTATCAACAAAGAACATTAAGACCGTAAGACTCATGATGAAACCACAACTTAATTCACAGAAGCACCAACGCAACACAGTTTACAGTAACCTTTCTCCTGTACATTGAAACAGTATAAAATATAGGTAATTTCATGTGCATTAAACCATGGATTGTCTAACTGTGAGTCAGTTCAGCAAAAGGTGACACAAATAGGTAGCATTTGCCCCAAAACAGGGTAAATATTTTTCTTATACTAATCTACAAAAAGTGGTTCTATATATATATCTTAATGAGAAAGTGAGCCACCTAAAATGGCCTTATCAAAAAACTTTACACTGCCTGAAAAATGTAAAAACTATTACAGACCTCTAGAGACTTAAAATCAGACAGTTTTTTTTCTCAAACTGTTTTTGGAAGTAGTCTGTTAGAAACCAACATTCTGTGTCCCTGGACACATATTGCTATTGTTACCAGTGACCGGGAAGAATGCCAATCCCTGTATAATACTTTCAAGTCTGTTTTATGAAAAGAAAAGAAAAATAAGAAAAACATTTTGCCACAGGTTTTTTTCTATAATTATTTTTTCTAATAATAAATTTCAGTCTTGCATGAATGCAGCAATGTTTTTCACATTGACTTCCCAGAATTCATAGCTAGATGAGGTCACATGCAAATTTCAAAGGTCAAACTAGATCAAAGGTCAGTAGGAGAACCAAATATGATGTGAGGTCAGAAAGACATCAGAAACAATGACGGGACGATGAAACTTTTTTTTGAGACGCCACAGGGACATGCTAGGCAAACGGTGAACTAACAGGCATGAAGATGTCTAGGGAGAAAACAAGGGAGAGGAAAAAGTTACACAGAGTCTACGCAGCAGCAACAAAATCACTCTAAGGGTGCAGGAGAAAAACTAATGCAAATCTTAGGTCATTAGAGAGTCTACTAGCCATCCACATAATTTGCATTTCTTACAATCTTTATCACAGCACAATGGAACCCCAAGAGAATCCATCTGGAGAGGGAGAGGGGATGGATTCTGAGTATTTTGGGGTAAGGGGCTGGCAAGGGACGGGGAGGATCCAGTTTCAACAAATGTAACATAAGGGAAAAGTCAGACAACTGAACTGTAAACTAGATAATGGAAGTTACAAACAAAATAATCAGACAGATACAAACAACAAGAGGATAAAGCATGAACTTTAGGCCTAGGGTTCAACGGTGAAAAAAAGCCCATTCCTAGAACGATTCCTTTAGAGACTACTTCAAAAGGATCTAACTAGCACAGAGAACTGCTCTTTAGGTATCCAATAAGTTAACAATAGGCAATAAATAACTTCCATTATTTCTGAGGCAGTAAAAATTTTGTACAAAAATAGAAATGCTTTTTTTACAAATAAAATTTACAGGCCTGTGGCTTTCTTTTTTATTTATGTATTATTTATGTATTATTTATTAAATTTATCTTTCAAGAAACATCAAGTATTTTCATTCATTGTTATTTTGTTTTTAAACCCTGTTGCTTTAAGAAACAGATCTCTAAATCTTTTTTACATTAATCCTTTCTAAAACGAAAATAAAACAATAACAAAATAGACAACCAGTGTAATAACCTGACCAATAAATGTCATATTTCTTTGAACCCTAAAATAAATTCCTACTTATTAAAACAAACCAAATGTAGTGGAAAGATGTTTGTATTGTTTTAAGTGCTTCTCCTGGCTTTTCTCTTGCTCTAGGCCACCACCTTGACCTCTAAACAGCTGGTGCCCTCCCAGGGATAACGGGACAGAGGGGGTGGATTCTCCAGGCAGTGCTCTCAGGGCACCAGGGGGTCTCTGAGTTAGAATTGCACATCAGCCTTTGTTTGCCTTTTAAATGACCGAGATGTGATTTATTTGTGTAAGTATGTTTTCCTTCAAAAAAGCAAAACAACAACAACAAAAAAACAAACAAACCCCGAAATCTAAAAAATAAAAAAAGAGGAGATTCAAATTGCAAAACAAAGGAGAATACAGTGGCACAACTGGAGGAGTTTACTCATAGAAACAAGGTAGCCCAAGTTTAAATATGGCGAACTGGGTCGGGGTGGGAGGGGGAGATGGAGGCCTTATTGTAAAAATAACCATCTCTCTTGGTAAAAGTTGGCAATGTGGTCCTCCTCTGCCTTTCCTGTGAGAACAGGCTGGCTCGTGGGACTTACCCTAAGAAAGCTAAAATAAGAGCAGGGAGCCTCTGGGGTTAGGATCAGTAAGGTTTGCTGTCATTTTTGGAGCGCTTCAGCTGGACCTTCAAGCGTTTCATGCCAATCTGAAAGCCATTCATAGCCTGGATAGCAGCTTGCGCAGACACCGGATTGTCGTAGCTAACAAAACCTGGAAAACAGAAGGGGAAGGAAGGCAGAAATCAAGATGGAGAGGCGGTGCTTAGAGAAGGGGGTCAGGGCCCCCTGGACAGTGTCACTGCCATTGGTGAGTTACATGGGCGAATCCCATGGTGAGCAGGGCATGTTTTAAAGGCAACATTGGAAACTGCCACTGAAAAGCAGTGGAAAAATGGAGCTGGATGGGTAATTGGGTTTGATGAGAAAACCCCTCTGCAGAAAGCTAACCTCCAACTCAGATGTTGTGAGTAAATTTAGTCTCTTTGCTTACTGATTTCAGCAAAACCACTTGTGTTTAAAGTCCCTTGGAATCCTTCTGCAAGAACCCCAGGAACGTGAGTAAGTGCTGCTTAGATAAGGGGTGGGCACATAGGGCCCAACCAGGTAAGCCTAAAAGGCAGGACAATTTATGGAAAGGCCGCTAACAGGGTGTGCTGCCAGACACCACGGCCAGCTTTCATTCTAGTTCATATCACAGGGCTTACACTTGTTTGGCTATTGGATGGGTTCAGTGAATTAACCCTAGAATAACTTATACTCGATTTCAACATTGTGGGATTATTACTGAGAGGCACCTAGGCAACCAGGGGAAACGCTGGGCCTTTCTTCTTGTCTTAACTTCCATTTTCAAAGCCCCACTGAATTCAACAGAATGGAAATTGCTGCCCTTGTATTCCCAGGAGTCTCGGAGAATAAACAGTCTAAACAGCTCAGGGCTTAACAACTATCCTAACAGAGTTCCCAGTATCCTCTGTTTCAACATTCACCGCCAAAAAAAGAGGAAGGGCATGCTTTTGAAAAACTGATGATGCTCTGTGAAAATTAAGGCAATTCTGATCATACAGTTTGTTCTAGCACCACGGGGTGGGAGAAGGCAGGCGTGGCAGTGCCCCAAAGGTTTCTTTAGTTAATGCCTATGCAAAAGTGGTGAGCCTGTATAGTCCCTACTTACTTTTGGTAGTGAAAGGAAGCTCTCACACTAATTGCATTTCGGTTCTGAACATCAGCTGTTCAGACGGTTCTACATTAAGCTTCTCTATATACCTACTATTAAAGTTCAAAGTTAAAGAGAAAATTCCTTCACAGACTAGAGGAGGAAGAAAAAGACATAAATATATCTTGAGCAGAGTTCTTAGCTGACAAGCATGAGTAGGTTTTTCATAGGCAGACTATATTGTAAAATGGTGCTTTACACTTTTTGAAATCAAATTCCCAATAAATGTTATCTTAAATCTAAGACAATTGCTCAGACTTTCTCCTTGAGTTTTCACCAAGAAGTAGCAAGATGATTAAAGAATGGGAATGGGTCAAGGGTGAAATGGGTAATAAAACGTGGCCAAGAGGTTAGAATGAAAAATAGGGTCCTACCTTATGACTAACAAACCTGGTTCCTCAAGAAATAAAACTGACCCACTGAGAAACCTCGATATGGGATGCCATGTCTTTTAATAAAAATTGAAAACTATTATACTAACACAATTGTCCATTATACTAATACAATTGTCTGCTGATACTTATAGCTATAACTTGATTATGAACACTAAGTAGCTGTGGGCTGTGATATAAGCTCTTTTAAAAGCAGTAAGTATTTTCTCATAATCAAACCACGAAGCTCCATCCCTTTCTAATCTCCAGACAAACCCAGGATATTGTTTGGCGAGGAGGAATCTAAAAGTCTGGCTCAAACCTGTGCAGGGAAGCTCCCAGAGGTAAGCTCATTCTGAAACTCAGCCTTTGTAACAACTCACTTCCATTTCGCGGCCTCCTGAACCATTGCAGGGTTCACACACTTGCACGGCAGCAGTGGTGCTAATGGGTTCAGGCTGACAGCCTCCACTTGGGTAAAAACTGACTTAAGTGGTTGACATACTAATTCCCCTAACGACAAAGCTTCAGACCTTTCTGGGCAGTAGCACAGAGATGAGAAAGATGTTATGATAATGGGGGTTTAGAAGCCAAAGCATTCTGGTTGCCCATTATTAGTTAGCCAGATACTAAGTTTGAGTTTTGGCTGTCTGAGAACCCCGGACCTTTGAAGTTTTTCTTTTTACTATACCATTTTATTTGTATTTCCTCTGGCCCAAAGGTATTCTACTTTATTTTATGTTCCTGTTAATACCTACTTCCAGCATGAATTAGTCAATTGGAGAGGTGACTCAAGCTAATGTTCTTTCTCAAACTGGGCTAGAACTTCTCACGTGAGTAATACAGACTTTGAACATTCTGGCCTCTAACTACTCTGGGGACTACAATTTGAAAAAAAAAAGAAAACAAGCAATAATGTAATGAGTACTCTCCTCCTGGTGTAAAACATTAGTGCCTTCCTCTCTCGGGGTAAAAACCGCCTGGGGAGGCAAAGCAGGCTGCCTGCGGAAGGAGGACATGACAGCCAGCCGTCCAGGAGCTGAGTCTCCCCATGTCCTCAATGCCCAATGCCCGCACCTTCATGCTCTGCACCCCCCAGGCAGTGCCTGCAGATCCCGGCATCCCGGCTTCTGGCTCCAGAACCCCAGCACAACACGGTGCTTCCGTGACCACGAGCCATCCCTGTGCTGCTGGAGCCACACGTGGCGGGCGGCTAGAGCACTCACTTCCTGGGACGAGGTGTGTACTTGTGTGCAGTGTACTGAGTAGGCCCCAGTACAGTGTCACCTGCATCCACAGTGGCTCAGTTACATTGCACCCAGCAGGGTAAGGAACTACTAGTAAAGTGGCCATGGTGCCATTCTGTAACAGGACAGCCTAAACTGCAAGTCACTGACGTATTCCCACTGGGCAGAGTTTGTGGTTCAGTATATGAGGTTTAAAGAAATTGCTGTTGCTCTACAATGACCAACCAGTAGACATATGTAGCAAGATACATCCATAGTATAGTATACAACATTACCTAAGGTATGGGCATTTGGTTTAATTTACTAGATCCTTATTCTACAGTGCTCTTGCGCGCTCTCTCTCTCTCTCTCTCTCTCTCTCTCTCTCTCTCTCTCTCTCTCTCTCTCTCTCGTGAACCAAATTTTCCAACTCTGCTTTACATAGATCCAGAGACCCAGAAACCACCACCACAAGGCCCTGTCCTGACTTCTACAATATTTGCCATTTACACCTTCCTTCCCATGACTCCTCACTTGGGGCTGTGCTGTAATAGTCTAGCTTGGCTTCTTTTGCATACCAAAGCACTTGCTCAGATTGGTCTGTTTGTCAATGAAGACTTTAGCAGAGATAACATTTCCAAAAGGCATGAACATCTGCAGAATGTCCTGGTCTCCAAACTCCTGTGGAAGGTGGTAAATAAAGAGGTTTGCACCCTCTGGACCTAAAGAGGAAACAAAAATCAGAGTAAGGTATTCTTCGCTTCTTAGTTCCCACAGCCTCCTCTCAGGAGTGCCTCAATAACAGGCAGGCTAAGCATTCGCTTTCCCTCGTACTGAAGGATGGAATGGATGGGTCAAATAGCACGTGCTGATGTGCCTTTTAGGAAAGCAGACATCCTCCAGCTTTTCATCATTTCCTCAGAAGTGTTGATTAGCAAATAGCTTCTTTTTCACTGGTAATCTTCTGTGGGTCACATGTGCTTGTGGCACATGAGCAATATTTCAATCCCTTCACAGGGTGAAGGTGGCAGACATGGGTAGAGTAGGAGAGGAGAAGGCAGGCGCGGGTTTTGCCTGGGTGGCCGTGTTGGCTTTATGTATATTGTGCCTCTCAGGGGAGAGAGTGTCCTGTGCATTCTAAGCAAATTGCAGCAATTGAGAGTAATGGATATAGCAGTAATGCTGCTTGGATTTCTCAATCATTTACCTAATTATCCATCCAGTTTTGATTTGCCAAATCTCTTAACACACAGTCTAATAATCATCTTTATTAGAAATGACTGGCAATGAGTCAAGGCAGGGTAAATAGGTAGCTAGAGTTTCACAACTGTGATAGGAATTATAGCACTGGGAATCAGCCTTGGAAATGAATGCATGAATTGCAGCAGTGAGTCAAAGACTAAGCTAAGCCAGGCCCTTCACTCTCAACTATCGCTTCCTAGAAATTCAAGAAACAAGGGCATTGTGAGGAAGATGTGAACTGTTCTGGCTGGAGAGGTAAGCTCTCTCAAGTTCTTTCCATTTCATTCTCCCACCTCTCTAGCTGCCTACACAAAAACTATCTGAAGGTTAAAAGAAAAAAAGGAGAAAAGAGAGAATCCAAATGACCTGCTGGAAGGTGATTATCTTCTAATATATAACAGGCAAGAATGCTTTCCAATTCAGAGGATGTGGGGGCTAGTTGCACATTCCTTCCCAGAGGGTCTGGGGAGGCCCCAAGTGGGATGCCTCTCGTCATGGTGTCAGGGAGGGAAGGGAGTTGATAAAATTGGTGAAGTAACCTCTGCAGTTGGTTCATGGAACCCTAACTGGCATTCCCAGGAGAGGACCCAGGACTGCTGGCCCCACTGAGAAGCCCCGGGGATAAGCTGCAGTGGGGGAGGGAGTCCAGGGGAATGAGTCTAAGAAATATAACTGTGGTAAAAGAACTTTGTGCAAATAAAAGGAATGAATATCTTTGCAAAGAAAAGTTAAACCAGTTCCTTCCTACAAAAAAATTCATAAAGAAGGTATTCTCCAGCCTCAGCCTCCCGAGTGGCTGGGACTACAGGCGCGCGCCACCGCGCCCGGCCATAAAGAAAGTATTCTAACAAATGGGGTTTTTATTGGAAAACTTCTTGAAGCAAATTTCTGAAGCTGGACACAAGAACTTCTTCCTTCCTTAAGTGTCAGTGTGACCAGTTTACCTTGCTACCTCACTCACATTTCCAGGGACATATCCCATCAAGTGCAAAGGAGGCAGTCTGGGTTTAAAGGGACACAGTTGCAGGCTTTGATCCCCAAATGTTTCCTGGGTTAAGAAAACTCCTAAAAATGCAAACTGTAAATAGATATAAAACCAAAACACTGGAAAAGGATGTTCTGAATGTATTATGCCACAGCCATCCTTTGCAGTGTACAGATGGGCAAATCTGAATGTTCCTTTCCAACAGAAGACCCAAACTCACAAATGAGGATTAATGGAACCTAATCTGAATTGCGAGGTCATCTCACTTCCTGAAGCTTGGGGAGAAAAGTGCAAATTTACTGTCTATGCCTGGACAATCCTGGCATGCAAGACTGCACTATAGTCTCAATGTGTGCCTTCCTGCCAGATAGGGGCCCAAGAAAAAAATGAAGACAGGTCAACCCAAGGAGGCTTGTCCTCTTAGTCATCACTTTCTCAAAAGTGCCACCATAGACACCCCTCCCCATTTCTCCCCACCAATACTGTTAACACTAAAATTAAAAAAAAAAAAAAGTGACTAAAAGGAAAACCTCTCTTGTGTGCAAGAACGGTGGCTACTGCCATAGACGCTAATGGTAAATAACAAGCGATTTTTTTTGAGTGTTTCACCACTTCTTCACTTCTCCCTTAGTAAAGCCAGCTGACAAATCCCACATTCCTCAGATTTCTCCTAGAACTCATTATTTTAACTTGTTAGAGATCTCTGTGTTATACAATGCTCTCAGCTGATTGTTATTCATGTTTGTGGTTCTCACAGAGCACTTATATAAAGCACTGGGGGTTTCTATCAGACCACTGGCTTCCTGTTGGGTGTTAGAAGCTCTTTCCACTGTGTGTGTGTGTGTGTGTGTGTGTGCGTGTATGTGTATGTGATTTGCGTGTGTGTGTGTGTATGTGATTTGCCTCCTACAAGCCTGAGAAGGTGTGAAAGAGGCCAGAGGGAGAGGGTATTTAGGTGGGAAAAGTGGTCAGCTTTGCTGGATTTAGATCGAGAGGGATGCCATAACACTTCGGAAGATTTTAAACCATATGCTGTACATGTGCTGTACATGTGCTGTACATATGCTGTACATGTGCTGTACATATGCTGTACATGTGCTGTACATGTGTTCCCCTGGGCAACATGCACCAGGGCACACACGACTAAACATCAAGCTGACTTTCAACTCTCCCGAAAAAAGGACAGAACCATGTAGTAGCAAATCTAAATCTCTACATAATGATATTTTTTTACTTCCCATTATAACTTGCCTTTTCATTATATTTAATTAAACTAATATTAAAATGGTTTATATTTCTTGAGCTCATGTTAGCTAGGAGAGGATGATTAGAACGTATGAAAAGATGAGACGTGATTAAAAATAACTGTACAGAAAACACCATCATCAACAACAACAAAAAAATAGAAAACCCTACACCATGCCACTGGTAGCCTAAATACCTAAATATATGTAATCTGCATTTGGCAATCATAATTCTAAACTATTTTACATTAATCCCAGAGGGTTTGCTCCTGTACAAGCAATCCTGACAACTCAAGGTAGGGACTAAATTTAGGGCAGGGCTGGGGTAAAGCAGTGGAGGAGATGTTATTTCAGGGCCCAGACTTTATCCCTAACCCACAAAGTTTTGAGTCTTCTGGTGACATTTCCCCAGCAACGTAGGCTCTACAATTTACTGAGAGGCACTGCTGGGTAATGGAGGAGTAACTGCAACGCCAGTGGGGGAACTAGCTTTCACTGTCTCTTCTGAGGAAGTCATTACCTTATAGGACCTCCTGCTGCCCTTATTTGTCACCACTGTAGTCAGAATCCAGACAAGGGATCTCAAAACGAGCTTTTCTCTGTGAGGTTGTGTATTTATGACATAGCATCTCCATACACCTGGGGAAATAGTTGTCTGAACAGCTGTGTGTGTGTTAAAAAATCTACAACAGCCACAACTAGGAGTTAAGAGAAAGTTGAAATAATGAAAAGTAACTTAGATTTTCACAAATCTTTTATTTTAAACAATCTGTTATTTATAATAAACAGAACTTTCCACTTTTTTTTTTTACATGAGTATCTTTAAAGCCGTGTCCCCTTTAAAATTCATAACTTTGTAAAGTAAAACTAGTCTATTTCTTTATAATAGAATGCCATGTTTAAAGTTGAAGTAATTAAGACAAAACCAGTTTGGAATTATGGGGTAAGGGTAAAGGAGAAGAGAAAGAAACTTTAAAAACTTCAACAATATTTTCCTATTCTAGCTTCTTATTCTATACTAGAGGCCTGGTACACGAAATTGGTGCACTAGAGGAGGGGGTCCCTCAGCCTGGCCTGTGCGTTCTCACAGTCCAGGAACTCTCACTCATTCCGCCTGCCTGCTCTTGCTCCTTACCGCTTCGTTCACTGCTCCTTAGCGCTGCTGCAGAGGCAGGAGAGACTCCAGCCACCACCAGCTATGAGCCCAGTTTCTGACTGAGCTGAAGTTCCCCAGTGGGAACACACTGACCACCAGGGGAAGCTCCTGTGTTGAGCGTCTGCCCCCTGGTGGCCAGTGCGCATCATAGCAACCAGTCATTCTGGTCCTTCTGCTGTTGGGTTGATTTGCATATTAGGGTTTTATTTTATAGGATTCTTAACAAGTCAGAAAGTGAATAAATGAAATGTTGAAGATTCTGCTTTTAAAGCAACTTCAATTATGGAAGAAGAAACCAAAAGGAAGGAAGAAAAAGAGACAAGCTCTTACTATTTTTCAATCAGCTCATTAACTATTTTATAATTAGCCTTAATTTATTCTGAACTTTAACTTCCTGGTATTCATTTTGCTTTATTGGCAGGGAAGCAAGGTAATCAATCACTTATTTGCTTTCCCAGAAGATCCCCAATTAAAGACAGAGTCAATCCCATAGTGGATTTATCGTTAACCTGAAACCACCACCTATAGAGCATGTGTGGCTGAGAACATGGGACCGGCTGGTCAGTACTCCGTCCACAGAACTGGAACGCTTCACCCCACCCACTGAGGGAGTTTTGTGTAAGGGGGATTTGGGAGAGGGGGTTCCTGGCAATTTTTGATGGCAGCAACTACTAAGTAATTATGTATAAACATACAGTGGGTGAGAAATCCATCTTAAGAAGTTAGATGAGAAGTTAAATCAAAAGATAAAAGAAATATAAGACTGAACATGAAGAAGATCAAAACAAATGGTTTAGGCTTGTCAGGTTTCTTGAGAAAAAACAAAAAGACACAAATAGCTGAAATAAAACAATTGCTTTCTCTATGATACTGGTTCAGTCTAGTGTCTTTGCAAATATGCTGTGAAGGTGAATGCTGCCCACTGGGCTGGCCACACCAGGCCAAGCCCTGGGCTGAGGGCGACACGTACCTTCCTTCTGGCTGCCCGCTGCGCTCTGCTGCTGCAGCAAGCTCTGGCTGTACAGAGTGGGCAGCGCCGCGGCTGCGTACTGCTGAATCCCTGAGTAGGCCTGGGTGAGGGCGTCCATGGTGCCCGCTGTGCCATTCGTCAAGCCCGTGGCGCCAAGTCCTCCATTCAGAGCCGCCATACCTGAGAGCATTTGAGCAACTTTACAAAAAACCCAACAATAGAGAAGAGAAATAGCACTTTTCATTAGTGCTTTCCAAAGGAAGGTAGAGAATCATTTGACACAAGTACAACAGTAACTGCATGCAGCTAGCACACCAACGAAACCAACATGAAATTAAAATGAAACTATGAAGTCATAGCTCACAATAACGGTAAAAACACAAACAAACAGCAACAGGAAATGAAAAAAAAAAAAACCTGAGCAATGATGCCCCTCTCTGCCTCGGCCGGTGATCAACGTTCACTGAGTGCTGCAGTGACACAGCACATCTTAATTCCATGCAGGGTGCTATTGGCAAGTACTGGGGTTATCTTTTTGAAATAAAACCTCTACTTCTTAGAGCTTAGAAGCAGGTAAAAAATTGCTTCTGACAGAGACCTGAAACATCTGTACACTTACACTTAAATCCATTTACTGTGCTCTTTGAGGACCAGGAGGTTGAGGAGGAAAGGAAGAAATACAACTTTTCTCCTGTAAGCTGTCTGGTAAGAAAGTGGCACAGAAGACAAGCTCTGTACTCAATAAACTAGGGGGTTGGCAGTTCCGTTAACTGACTTCCCTGAATTGCAGGGGAGAGTGGTCAGGAATAGGAGCACAGGAATGGCTTGGCTGATAAAAAACGAAGGCACAGGAAAGAGTGTGCACCCTCCCCTAACTGCGGAAATGGAAGTTGCTTATTCCAGTATGAGAGGCGGGACATGGAATGGGGCGGTTTGTTTTTAGCAGCACATAGACGGACAGACAGACATATGCACACACGAATATGAGTCAATGCCCATGTAACTGGGGCTTCTGCCAAGGAAAAGAGCTTCTGTGTCACTTTTTTCAGTCAACTGAAGTGGCCCCGTGTCCGCAGGCTGGGTCTTGGCTAGTCACTGATGGGAACTGGAGGTTGGCCAGCACACTTTTTCATTTTTTTTCTCCTTGTATCCTGGCTGCTCTTTTGCTATATTATGGTTGCTGACTGTGCCATATTTTCTCTGAATACTGAGTCAAAACAAGCAGGACTTTATAGAGTGTTAACTTTCATATGAACTTAGGAAATGGAAGAGGTGACATCATAATTGCCTTTAGTTTCTTTTATGATTAATACTTAAAAAAAATTTTTTTTCAAGGATCTATTTCTGGGAAGAACTCACTGAAAACAATGAACACCTTAAAGGAACTAGGGATATTGATTAAGGCTATGAATCAGCAAAGATGACTGTGAAAAAAGTTGGTAAGAAGTCCAGTGAGAAAGGAGAACTAAGATGAGGATGCTTAGAAATTATAGAGAGATCCAAGGCCAGCATCACCTCGACACTCCCGTCAGAGGTTTTCCCTGCCACCCCCGGAAATGTTCTCCTTACTCTACACGAGTTGGTTATTTTTTCAACTTCGTATCTTCAATGAAAGAACTACATGGAAGATATGAATCAGACCATCGCTTTACAGAGAGGAATCTCATAGTGCCTCAGGTCTGGTATTCTTTCTGAAGGCTTATGGAGACAGAACTGGGGGCCCTGGGTGATGTCACCAAGTACAGACAGGCCTGGGGTGGGTGGAGTGGCCAGGACAGCCCCAAAGAAATGAGAATGGAACAAGGCTACTGAAAAGAAAATCAAGCAGATCTGGAATGTAAACAAAGCTAAAAGGGTGTGGCCAGCAGAGGTTCTGCTCACTCTGTTTTAAATTTCTTCTTATGAAGAATTTTCTTTCTTTCTTTCTTTTTTGGTCATGAAAGTCAGTGCTAAGAACTTGGAAAGAGTTTGCCCTCTAATTAAACAGTCCCTCAGACAACAACTAATCACATGCACCTCATTGCTTCTTGTCTTCTCTATACCTGTTATTTCTATGGCTGCTCAAGGGCTGGGAAGTAATTTCTCGTTTCCTCTTTGGTCTTATTTCATCCTCACCTGCCAATCTTTGTGTGAATGCAAAGAAACATCAGTGTTGCTTTTCTGGGAGGTGAGAGGAAGCTGTAAAATAATTTGAGCAGAGCCTAAGACAGCTGGTAAGCGCTGCTGGTTCCATTTTTGTCAGGCTGCAAATTGGTGGATACAGATGGCCTGTCATGGGCTAAGCCCTCCAGGAAGTCAAGCTCCCATGTAGATGGGAGGAAATTCTAGGAGGAGGAAACAGCCACTTGCCACTCCACTTACACCCAAGGTGTACGGTTCTAGGTGAGCATCATGGCTTAAGAGCTGGGCGGAACACAGCAGTCTGACAGATAGGGGCTGCAGACAGAAGCTCCACTATAAAGAATGTCTCCGAATTCCCCTGTTGTGTATGGGATGGTTGAAACACTACATGTCCATGGTGCCCTGCCTACTTAGGGGCCCACCCAGGTCTCTCAGGCCTCCCATGTATCACTGTGTAGGAGAGCCTTCCCGTGCATGATTTGCAGTCTTTGCAACATGGCTTCTAGCCACACAGGTGAGATTTAACTGACAGTCACTGGTGCCCCTGCCTCCCTTCCTGTCTGGGACATGCCCCTGTTGCTGTCCAGGTCAGGTGAGTTATCTTCTACCTCTTTCCTTCTTTTTCCATTTCCCCCCGCTGAAACACAGAAGCGGCATGCACTTCATGCTCCTGAAAGACTGACTGGGCAGTGCTTCAGGACTAGAGTCCTTGTGTGGCATGTGGCTCCAGCCAGTGACCTTTCAGCCACCCCCTCACACTCTGCCTGCCCACACTCCACAGTGGCTGGCTGTGTTTCTAGACTTGACCTCAGGGCAGATTTGCTTTCTGAGGGTTTCTGCTTACTTCAGCCGATGCCATGTGTTTGGGAGACAGTGAGGACTGGCCTCCTGTGCCCAGGGTAGGGAGGGAGGTAGCAGAAGAGGCACAAGTAAAAGGGGTGTTGATGCCAAAGAGAGGACTAGTCAGGGCCTCTCTAGCTTCCCTCCATGGTACAACCATTCTTTGGAACAAAAAATAGGGATAAAAATTCTAACAAATACAGATGCATTGAGAATATTTAAAATAAAACCTGGGACATTCTGTTGTATTTGCCAAAACCCAGGGCAGAATAGGTAACTGATTCCCCAGTAGAATTTGAAGGACCATCAAAAAAAGATTTCAACCTCTCAGAGTTGTTCCTATGAGTTATCTAATGTTATTCTATATTAAGTAGTCATATCAAAGATAACACTGGTAATTCAGCTGCTGGGAGTTGATTATATCTAAAAACTTGGACAGCAAAAACAGGTTGGAAGAAGGTTAAGTTGGATAAAATGCTTTTATCCATGAAGAATAGGGCTTTTCTTTGAAAAGGCCAAATGGATCGGTCATTTCACCCCACTTAATCTGGTTCCCAAGAAAGGCACTTGGATGCGAAGGCTGGGACAGAATGACAGGTATGGCAAGGTCCACCAAGGAAAGGCTTTGCAAATGGTCTGTCAGTAAAGTTAGTGTGTATCTTGACTACTAAGTACTTTAAACTTAATTGCTCTCCAAGGTTCTCACCCGATGGGGACCTAAGGAATGGTGAGAAGACTGATAAAATATGTGAAAATGGAAGAGGACCCACCATAAATAGGAGCATGAACATTTTTTGTGGTCACTATGAAGGTGGCTCTGAAATGGAGATCAGAAGCAGAGCACCATAAGTGAACCATAGCTATTTTCAAGCCACTCTGACAAGTTTTATACCGAATAAAAATAGAGCAAAAGTGAGGGATGTGTTAACATAGACCTGAAGTGTGTTTACTGAGGTAAGCCTCCTTGGTGTAGCTGAAGCATAGCCTTGTAAGCTGCGAACTGGTAATGAGAACTCAAGTATAAGGTATCTAGAACCAGGGTAGATGACTGTGAATATGCACAGTTAGGGGCACTCATGTGTATGCTTGTGTTAATATGGTCACAAGTGTGTGTGAGGTTGTATGTGCTTAAGTATGTACCTAACTATAATACATATACCTTTGTATATTCCAATGATATGGATTAAAAGTCATTTCACAATGCAAATTAAAGTGACAAGCCACAATAATAATATGCCCAAAACATCTTCTCTTTCCTCTCCTTTAAAAATAAATACTTCCATAAACACTATTCATTAGACATTTGTGGCTGGTTATATCAGACCATCATAATTTTAAGCACTATATGGATAAGCCATTTGGAAGGCTTAATGCCATTTAAAAAAAGGAAACATACATTTTAAAACACAAAACCAGATACAGATTCTTGGGTGGACATATGTGCAAAAAGATTTTCATCTTAGTTTAAATATGAATATGCAAAACATGCTTGGAGAAGCCTCAAATAATACACAAGTGAGCCCAATTAGCGAATCACCCACTCTCCTCACTTCTGATCTGGACAATTTCGGCTCGTAGCTTTACTGTACTGTACTATTTTCCCACCCCTCCATTCATGAATGCATAAAGGAAGGAAAAGGAGATTAAACTCAGTTCAATTTAGCTACTTGCTTACTAACCAAGACTTTACGTAAGGGGGAGGTGAAAGGCCTCTGGCAGGGAAGAGGGCAAAATTTACACTAAGATGAGTTTGGGAACTAACTGTGGATTCCATCTACCCTCTTCTTGGCTCCTTTGTCCATGGAAAAGAGTTGGCTCTTTGATAGAGAAGCTGAGGCCAACTGTTTTAGAAGTTGCCTCTGTCCAGGTAGCCGTTTCTTGACCACCTGCTTTGAGAATTACTCAGTAGGACAGGCGGCATCACACTATCTGTCAAGGGAGAATGGTCTGAAAGGGGACACTCTGTGTATATTAGAAGATTTTCTCTTTGTATTTGAGATGAGAAGTAAATACTAGCTCCCAGCCATTGTTGTGATTGTTTAATAGTCCTGCACCAGTAACATCTCCCAAATCAGAAAGAACGTATTTTTGTTTTACCATGGTTTTTGGTTTAAACATTCTCCTGGTTCATCCTTTCTGGTAGACACATTCTTCATTTTCCATGAACTGCACACACTGATGTTAACCCAATGGCAAATAATGAAAAAACAACTGAAGCCTGTTGTCCTTGCCAGAAGCAAAATTTGTACCACACAGACCCCACACAAGACCTGGTCATAGATTCTCTGCCATTCGACAGAGTCCCTCTCTAGCCCCTGATAACGATGGGGAATCCCAGCAGGTACAACACAACAGGATGAAGAGAGACAGACGCACGGATGGGAAGACGACACAGTATCATGAGCACGTGCTGAGGAGGACAGCCACTCCCACTGGCCTGTTACTTTGCAGACCAAGGACAGGCAGGCGATCAAATCAAAGTCCTTGTTTTAGGGGAACTAGGTCCTGGGGCAAGAGAAGCAGCATGAAGGGCTGTGTGCAAACACACACCTGCAACCGAGGGCAAGGACAAGTGGGCTGGAGCGTCTGCAGAACAAGGTCAGAAACAGGAGTCAAGGCAATGAGGGATCCTGACGGGGCGCCGGAGGCAGCGTTACTGGAATAAAACGTTGTGCTGCCGCACGGTTACCACTTTGTACACTATTTGCTCATCGAGAGCCATCCTATCTGGAAGGAAACAGGTTTCTCATTTCTTTTATTTTTTGGCCTCTGGTCAGATAAAACTCAGTTCATGTTTATTTGTCTTTCCCAGAGCATCTGAGTAAAATGATTTCATAAAACCTGAATATTTCCTACCTCTAAATATATGATTAATTTTCTTATCAGGATTATAACAGCCTTCATTTGGATGAATTCTGGGTTCTGCCAAATAAACTGCAGGGTATTCTTTTTGAGCTTTGAAAGTCTAGACTTACTGGGATTCCTATTTTTTGCCTTTTTAATAAAATTGCTCGATCACCCTTTAAAAACAGTTTACTTATTGAATCATGACTTAAAACAGGGCAACTTTCTGCTTGGGCTGCATGGTGGGTAACTAGACCCCCAAATCAGGATCTTTGGGCTCTCACGGAGCTGCTGGGCGTGGCTGCTCTCAGGCACCCAGGGGGGACCAGGCTGAGGGAAAGGCAAACATGACGCCCCTCTGTGGGCTCAGGGCTGTTCCCCAGTGCAGGAGCCAAGGCCAAGCATGGGCCTGCAATGTGTTTATCTGTTGGCTGGGTACTGTGCTCCCAGGTCTAAAGTGCCAGATGGATAAGCCACGGAGCAGACTAGCGATCTTGGGTGAGTCTCTATGTTTCAGAACTGTGATTCTGTAAGAGTCTGACCCAACCTGTGGGAGAAGAACAGCAGCCCTTCAGAGCTGCACTGCTCAGTAACCCTGCCCGTGAGGCTTAATAAAGACTCCAGACCATGTTCATATGTAGCGGCTCCTCTCTGCTCAGCTGGACTTTCTTCGTTCCAAGGCCCTGCTTCCCCTCTATTTAACTGGCACGAATCTTTGGGTGTTAGACCTAGAGGGCACTTTTACGGTCACCTGATCCAGAACTTTCAATTGTCAAATGGGAAAATGAAGCTCAGAGCAGGGCAGTGATTTGCCTAAGATTCTGCAAGTAATTGCGACCAGATTCGGAGCGGGACCCGTGCGTCCTGATTTCTGGTCCATCAATTTTTCTATTCTTAGCACACTGCCTCTCAGAAGAACAGAACAAATCCCAAACCCAACCAAACCCTCAAAACCTACAAATGTCTGCCAACCCCAGAGACGTATGGATGGATATGCACACGCTACATATTAGAGGAGACTGGGGGTGGGGAGGGGTTGGGTGCTTTGAGGCAAAATGAACCTAGACAGCGTCTGCCTATCAAAGCATGTGCTCCTCCATCCCAAGTATTAGTTCTCCCTGTTACGTATCCTTTTTAGGTCACTCTGGCTGAGCGTTTTCTGTGGAGAATTTGGGGGAAGGCTGTCCACCAGAGCAGCAAATACTCACTGTTTATGGTACCTGCGAGTGCATTAATATTATTCAGTCCAACTGTGGCTCCCGCCAGTCCTTGCAGAGTCCCGAGAGAGGTCAAAGAGTTCATGGCCGCACCAGCAGTGGAGTTGGGTGTTGAAGCAGCCACTGAAAAACAAGAGGAGGATGGGAGAAAGGGGAGAGAAAGCACAAGATGAGTGAGAGCCAACTGGACCAGTAAAGTCAGCTGTCAATGCAGCGGGGGAAGCCAGGGAGTCGTGCTAGTATATTGGGTGGGAAAGACACAGGGGATTGATTGTACTTGTGGCACTTTGACCATTAGATTTGGTAATTAATAAAAAATGATCATAGCACTACTAGTATTTGGCCGATGCAGTGAACACCCTCATTGCTGGTTGAGGAAAATTCGAGAAGGGGGGGGGATGGCTGAGAACTGGGTAGCCCTCTTGTGTCCTGATTTCCAGTCCATCAAGTTTTAAAGGCCCCAGTCCTCTAAGCTGCCTCCTCCAGGTTAACACATTAAGAAGTGGAGGAGTACAATGGTAATGCTTGGCTTCCTTATTGTTTCTGCTGCAGAGTTGGCACTTTCTCAATGAAGTTTTGAAAAAGAAAAAAAAACACATCTTCCTGAGTATGACAGGAGACGCCAGGACCCTGGTGGCAGTGGTAATAGACAGGGTGGAGCATAGGAGAGAAAACCATTTTGCTCCAGACTCTCCTTCCCCTGTCTCCCACATCACCCCCACTCCCCCCCCCCCCACCACTCTCCCCCACACACCTCTTTTTATTTTTATTTATTTATTTTTAACATTGATTTTAGAGAGAAGAGGGGGAAGAAGGGAAATAAGGAAGAAGAAAGAGGAAAGAAAGAGAACTATAGATTTGTTGTTCTACTTATTTATATATATTCACTGGTTGATTCTTATATGTGCGCTGACCAGGGATTGAACCTACAAACTTGGTATATTGGGATGATGATCTAACCAACTGAGCTACCCGGCCAGGCACCCTCCCTGCTATCTCTTTTAAATGACAGTTTTATTGGGATATAATTCAAATACCATACAATTTGCCCCCTTAAAGTGTACAGTTCAGTGGTTTTTAGTATATTTATAGAGTGAACAACTAGCACCACTATCTAATTTTAGAAGATTTAAAAAATTGATTTTACAGAGAAAGGGAGAGGAGAGGGAGAGAGAAACATCTATAAGAGGGGAAACATCAACTGGCTGCCTCCTGCACACCTACAACCTGGACTGGGCATGTGATTCGACCAGGAATTGAGCTAGCAACCTCTTGGTGCATGGTCCATGCTCAACCACTGAGCACATTGGCTGGCTAGAACATTTTTATTACTCCCCAAAGAAACCCATACCATTCTAACACTGGAAACCACTGATCTACTTTCTCTATGATTTGCCTATTAACATTCCATATAAATGGAATCTTAAAATATGTGATCTTTTGTGACTACTTTCACTTATCACAATGTTTCGAAGGTCTCCTGGAAGTCTCCCAGTCTAATTAGTATATTACCATTTTATTAGTATAGATAGAGGCCTGATGCATGGGTGGGGGCCAGCTGGTTTCCCTGAAGGATGTTCCAGATCAGGGTGGGGGTTCCCTTGGGGCATGGGGCGGCCTGGGCGAAGGGCCTGTGGTGTTTTGCAGGCCAGCCATGCCTCCATGGAGTGAGGGTCCCCGCTGGGGTGTGTGTGGCCAGCCCGGGTGAGAGGCTGAGGTCTGTTTTCAAGTAGGCCACACACCCTTCAGGGTGGAGGTTCCCCCTGGGGTGCCTGACCAGCCTAGGTGAGGAGCTGATGGCTGTTTGCAGACTGGCCATGCCCCCCAGCAGGGACTCTTACTCCATGAGGGTGTGGCCAGCCTGGGTGTGAATAAGATAGACCTTTATTTGACCTTCTTGTGCTGTTCTTAGTTTCACTGCCAAATGACTGGGAGAATGTCCTCATTTTTCCATTCTCTGGAAGAGATAGTATAAGACTGAATACATAAGGTGACATATATAAAACTTTAAACAATAAAGAACTTTAAAAAAAAAAAGACTGAATACGTATAATTTAAATGTTTGGTAGAACTTGCCAGTAAAAATGACCTTGACTTGATATTTCATGATGTCATGGCTTTAAAATATTGATTACATTTCTCTAATAAAGAGGATTATTCAACTTTTATTTTTCCTCTTGAATTAGCTTTATTAAGTTACAGCTTTCTAAGAAATTGTGTACTCTAAGATTTTAAATTTATATTGGCATGAAAGCCTAAGGTGCTGTTGAAAACAACAGAAATCTTGGCGGTAAGACATTAAGAGACTCACAGCTCCATAACAGCATGATAGGCCAGCTGGAGGTTTAACAGAGAGAACCAGAGACAGAGGCAGCTCAGAAGAGTCCTCCTGGGGTCAGATCAGACTTCAAGGAATGGCCTTGAAGAGGTTCCTTGTGCAGGGGCCTGACATGAACTGAATCAGGCTGCAGGTGCACTTCATGCCCAGAGCCAAACAACAGAGCAAACAACTAGAAATTAGTGGAGGCGAATGGCTGGATGTGGTAACAACAGAAACTGACCCACAGAAGTTTAACAGGGAGTTAAGGCAGAAAGGCAGGCAGAGAGCCATTAAAAAGAGTCATGCCATTTAAAGAAAGGAAATATAAGAATGCCACAACCTAAAGCTGTGTCTCGTGAGGAGTGACAGCAAACTCATTCAGTAGTAGAATAGGTCTCCTTGAACTAGCCTAGCTAAGTCACTAAGCAAATAAGCAAACAAGAAAAAATTGGGTCTGGGGGTGGGGAAATAGAGTGAGAAGGATCAGTGTCCAGAATTGTTATAATATATTACTTAAAATGTCCAGTTGTAAACAATTAGGAGACATGATCTAGACACAGCAAGAACAAGTGACAGAGACTGTTTAAGAGGGTTTAGATACTGTACTTAAACAAAGACATCAAGGCAATTATTATAAATATGTTCAAAGAACTAAAGGAAACCATGTTTAAAGAAATAAAAAATTGATCCAGCTGGTTGATTCAGTGGTTGAATGTTGACCTATGAACCAGGTGGTCATGGCTCAATTGGCTTGATCCTCAGTGAGGGGAGTGCAGGAGGCAGCCAATCAATGATACTCTCTCATCACTGATGTCTCTATCTCTCCCTTCTCCCTTCATCTCTGAAATCAACAAAAATGTATTTTAAAAAAGAATTAAAAAATGTATGCTGATCATGTTTCATCACATAATAGAGATGGGAATTACTAAAATGAACAAAAAGGACATTCTGGAACTGAAAAGTTAACTACAGAAATGAAAAATTCACTGTGGGGCTCAACAGTTGATTTGAGCAGGCAGAAGACTGAGCCTCAGACATACAGCACACCATTAGTCACACTAACATACAAGTAATGGGAGCACCAAAAGAAGAGAAAAGAGCAGAAAAAATATTCAAAGAGACAATGACTAAAAAGTTCCCAATTTTGATAAAACACATTAATTTATACAAATAAGAAAGTCAACAAACTGCAAATAAAATTAAACAAAGAGATCCACCCATAGACATGTGATAGTAAAAATGCTGAAAGTTAAAAATCTTGAATTCAGTAAGAGAGAGAGAGAAAAAAGAAAAGACTCCTTATGTATAAGGGAGTCAAAATAGGATTAATAGCTGATTTCTCAGAACAAACAGTGAACCAAAAGGTGGCAGGAAGGCATATTCCAAGAGCTGAAAAGAAAAATCTATGAAATAAGAATCTTATATCCAGCAAAACTATCTTCCAAAACCAAAGGAGAAACAACAACATTCCTAAATGAACAAAAATAGAGAATTTGTGGCTAGCAGATGTGTCTTACAGAAAACACTAAAGCGAATTCCTCAGGCCGAAAGCAAATGATTCCAGACAGTAATTAAAGTACACACATACACACACAAAAAAACCCAACAAAACCCACAAACAAACAAGCCCAAAGAACACTGATGAAGTAATTATGCAATTATAAAAGACAGTGTAATTGCATTTTTCCTCTTGTCTTCTCTTAACTGATTTAAAAATCAATTGTCTAAAAACAATATGCATATAATTGCATTGGTTGGGCCTGTAACATATGGAAATGTAATATATTTGGCAATAAAAGCTCAAAGGCAGTTGTGAGGACAACACTGGAGTAAGGAAATTATGCCGGATGGCAATAAAAAAGAAACAAAGAGAAACAAAAATGATAAACAAGAGGGTTATAAACTCTATTGATCTCTACTTGCTCCCCTTCTTTTAGTTTCTTTAAAATATAGTAGGTTGTATGGAATAATAGTTATAACAATACACTGCTGGGTTTGGAGCATACAGATGTAATGTGTGTATAAAGTATAGCACAAGGGGAGGAGGAGGAGAGTTCTGTGGGAGATTTCTGTATTTTAGCAGCATGGAGTGAGCATAAATCTGAAGTAGATTCTGTAAGTTATGGTGTCTAGGGAAATCACTAAGAAAATAAAATTTGAAAATATTTAAAAAATCATGAAAGAAATGAAAATACTTTATTAGAAAATATTTACTTAAAGAAAAATAAAGCCAGAAAGATGAAATTAGAGGAACAAAAAGATATGTGACATATAGAAAACAGAAAGTACAAAGGCACATATAAATGCAACCATATCAATAATAACACTAAATGTGAATGAATTAAACATCCACCCAGAAGGCAGGGATTGTCAGATTGGGTTAAAAAAATAAAAACTAGTCCTGGCTAGGTGGCTTGGTTGATTGGAGTGTCATCCATGCACCGAAAGGTTGTGGATTTGATCCCTGGTTGGGGTGTGGATGGGAGGCAACCAATCAATGTTGCTCTCTCTCCCTTTCCTCTCTAAAATCAATAAAAATGTTTCTTCATGTGAGTATTTAAAAAAACAAAAGAAAAACCAAAATCCAGCTCTGTCTATGCTGTCTATAGGAGATATACTTCAGATTCAAAGGTACAATAAGTTGAAAGTAAAAGGATGGAAATATAAACTATGCAACCAGCAAGTATGAGAGACTTCATAACAATTTTGGATAAATTGCTTGCATTGCAAAGACCTTAACATGCCTTCATGAAAATCTATTTTTGTCCTGATGAAATGTAGCTAAAAAAGGACTCCAGTGCAG